TACCCGTGATGGGCAGAGCACAGATAGCCCATTGTGTAGCTTTGTGCTTAACTACAAAAACAAACATTAAAATGTTTTAAGTGCTTCTGTACAGAAGATGAAGTAGAAAACGTTAAAAGGAATTCGCAGCTATTCCGATAGATGGTACTATATTTGGTTGGATCTTAAAATTGTTTGATACTAAATACAAAGCTCTACTGTGCCCATCGCAAGTATCGAAACACAATTTTTGACGTTATAAGTCTGTAAACTTGCCGCTTAAAAGGTTTTATGCATACTAAAAAAATCATTTCTGGATTTGTCATTTGTGTATGTTTGACGTGTTAGCGTGTCATATCCACATTTAAAGCATATTAAAACTAAAATGCTAATTTGAATTTTTAGAGTAGCAGGTAGCAATTTTGGTAGTGTTTGCGAGAAAAAGTTTTTTGTACATATTCTTACATTAAATTATATATTTTTACTCTTATGGTTTAGTGTAAATCGTTTTCAGTTGTTCAGTTCGCTTTTATTTAGTTGTATGATAAATAAAATGCTGAAAAAAAAGGTTTTAAATAGTAGAATTTACAGATGATAGGAACCTACAATATTGATTCGTTTTTAATCTTCAAATTTGAAATAAACAGATTTGAAGTGATTAAAAAAAATTACAATTTTTTAGAAAGTGAATTGTTTAAATTATCATTCACATTTCGATCGTATAAATTTCAAACAGGATAAACAACTAACCCGATATTCAGTGTGTGTCATTATTCTGTTATGTTTATTTTTAATAAAACTATATTATTTGCTTTTCTTCACAGAGTCCTGTGGGTTGTGGCTTGGAGATTCACACACACCCTCATCCTTCCCCGGCACTTCGGCGGAGTGGACAGATGGCCAAAGCTCTACCCTAAAGACCCATCAACGTCGTTCCTCTATATTACGAAAGACTAAGCGAGCTAAATCTTACCCACCGCCCCCTCAAAAACGGGAAGGGCGAAAAGTAGTGCGTTTTGCTGACTCTTTAGGATTGGACCTTGAGAGTGTTCGCTATATGATGAAGAGCGACCTTCCGCCCTCTATCCCATTGTCAGCCTTTTCCGATTTGAGGCGCTCCCAAGTGTCTTCCTATGACATCGAGCTTGTTCCAAGCTTTATTATGCCTTCGTTCTCTTCCAATTTTACAGACCGCGTGCGTGACCTTGCCGTCAGTCTTCACAGTGTTTCTACCGCCAACACAACGGTTTACGGTATCGTTGCAGTGCTGAACTTGACCTTCCATAAGAACATCTTCATACGCTACTCAGTAGATAACTGGAACAGTCACCACGACACCAGCACTACCTACATTCAAGGGTCTTCCGAGGGTGACATAGACAAGTTCTCTTTTAACATCTTTGTTTCTCCTCAGGATCTGTCGACTCGCAATCATAGCCTTGATTTTGCTGTTTGTTACCAGACGCAGGATGGTAAGGAATTCTGGGATAACAACAACGGCTTGAACTACAGATTAAAGTGCGAAACTAAGGGCCCGTCTTTTGTCTCGAATATCGATCATAGCTGGATACATTTTCTCTGAATTCCCGTGTTGTTTTTCTTTTTTTGCAAATGCTCAAATTTTATACAATTTACGTTAAAAGAGGCAAATAAAGTGACTAACACTTGTGAATTGCTTGTAGAATATATATCAGAATGGAAAATCGTTTTGAAATGTGTTGTTTTGGCCAGTAAAAGATATTGTCACACCCCTCTTTGTACAATGCACCGATTGCTGCGTGATGTTTCCTACTATTCGGTTGTATGCAAATCTATAACTTGTTACTATTTAGAAAGTAAGAATATCACAATCTTATTGCAAATAAATATTTTATTTACAAAAAATTAAATAAAAGATCATGTATCAATCTGTGTGGGAATGTCACTTTTCCTAAAAGATCATGTATCAATCTGTGTGGGAATGTCACCTTTCCCGATTTGAATGGAACATTAGATTTCCATCATGTTTTCAAAGCTAACATAATTTCAAATGTGCCTTTGAATATTTAGTGATTTGAAGATTAGCCAAGAAAATATTGTTAATTACACAAACAACGATAAAATTTCAAGTGTAGTGAAGTATTTATAATTAGTAATGTGTAGGAATTTAATAAATGAAATAGCCAAGTTACACGTTTTGCATTCCCTACTGCTTTTACTAAATAAAAAAAATTCCTTTTAAAATATTTTTAGAACGTTTTTAAATCGAATTTATGTATTTGTTACTTAAATACTTCAAAGTAGATGCAATAAATACAATTTGTTCGTACTGGATTCGAAAACTAAGTTTTTGTACAAAAAAGTGTCATGAAATAATAAAACAAGAAATGAAAAGCAACTGTTAAAACGAAAAAGTAATTATAAAGCTGTTAAGGCCCAAAAAATAACTTAATTTTTCGTATATATACTGAATTTTACTAAGCAATTAGACAAAACTATAGTACATCGTACTTTTTCGGGTTTACTGTTAAAATTTAAAAACACATTTCATTGTAAAGTAACATTGTGCGACCTAGATATTTAGATAATATTATTAGAGATGACTACAGAGGTTTGGTACATTATATTAATATGATTTTGTAGGCTCGCCACGTCGTTACACTCCCTGTAACTACGCCCGGTCATGCTGTATGACAACGATGCTTCTTGACAATAGCCCATGTAGTTTGCAAAATACCGCGATGTAAGGCACGTCCAAATTACATAACTCTTCCACGCATTGTTTCCATAATCCCTCTACTATATGAGGACAACAGTTTCTCAGTGCCATCTCAAAAGTACAATCGCATAGAAACCCATGGATGCTGTGTCCAACGACTCGTCTTTGTGTGTAATAGCATCAATAACCGTTTCCTGCTCTAGTTACTTGAGTTATTCTGTGGTTGAACAGAAGGTATGATTGGAAGCCTATCTTGTTGAACTCTCACCCTGTTGGCCTTCTTTCTGTACAAAGTGTGTATTTCTGAGTGGTACAAAGAGTCGAGAACATTGGTTTGATTAGTAATCAGAGTTCCCATTATCCTTCGTATCCACTCTACTTATCCCTAACTACTCTTTGGCGCAGTATCCGATGGCGACCTCGCCACTCGGTAAAGTCTCGTGGCATGCTATGTACCACTTTTGGACTTTTTTTTTTTTCTGGTAGAAAATGGCACGAGACTTACCACACTTCGTTTAGTATCATCAGGTTCTGCTATTTCTCCTTTCCCCAGAGCGTAAGTATACTGTTCATACACTTTCCTACAGTTGGGTTTTCTTTCCTGCGTATGGCGTGGAAGCAACTTGTGGTCACGATTTGTTCAACTTTTCTCCACTTAGAGCCTTAATTATATTGCATACTGTTGCATTGGACACGTGTACAACTTTTTCCACTGACCTTTGAATTCATGCTATTTACAAGAAATCGCATTTACTTACCATTTTTGAGGACGACTTGTTGTCACTTTCTAAACGGTCCCTAAATTGATCTATATACTTTCGTTTTCCATTAACATTAAGTACAAGGGATACGTCAATGTTAGAAAGTTTGTATCTCCAATCTGAAGACGTCCTTATGATCTGAGTGTATAAACATTTTGCGATGGAAAGGAATATTGTTTATACCCTTTCCAAAAGTGATACATTTTCGGGGCATTTAAAAAATAAAATAACAGAAATACTACAATGAAAATGTTGTTATAAGAGTTTGAAAATACTGTAATTATAAATATAAAAGACAGGGCAATATTATGAGTCATCGCCAACCAACAAATGCTCGAAAGATAGTGATTGATACGTAAAAGGGCCGAGCGCGGTCCAGTGGCTAGGGTGCCCAAATGTGGATCCAAGATTTGGTTGTTCGCACTCTGTTACCATCGTAAAAAAATAAAAGGCGCTCAGCACTCTGAAGCCGTGACTGCATTATAAGAGTGACGGTCAAATCCCATTATTCGATCAGCGCATAATCCATGAAAATTGGCGGATTATGTTGGCTTTCTGCCTTCCTTCTATCACTTCAAAAACTAGGAAAGACAAGCGCAGACGTCATCGAAGAGTTCTACACGAAATTCAACAGTGACACATGAAAAAAAAGCCTAAATTAGATCTTACATGGATTACTTTGGTTATTTAAACACCAGAGAGAAAATAAAATATCGGAATTGTAAAGTAGTTTCATTTTTTTCCGTCGTCGTAATATACCAATTATGGTAACACATGTAAGTTTCCAAATGTCCATGATATTCAAGTTAACTTTTATTGTCCCAGTTTTATAACTTCTTAACACGTAGCCCGGTGGTAACAGCGCTCGACCCGAATCTGGGGTTCGGGGGTTCGAATCTTTATCACACCGAACATGCTCCCCTTTCAGCTGTGATGACAGAGTTTTTCCCTGCTAAATTAGGGAGGGCTAGCGTAGATAGCCCTCTTGTAGCTTTGCGGGAAATTCAAAACAAAAAATCTTAACACGTGTACTAAAACCCATTTTGTTCAAAATAACAAAATACTCATAAATAGTTATTTAAATCATAAATAGTTCTAAAATTCAATTGAACAAACAAATTCGTACAATTATAATTTGGCAGAATACTGAATGTGTGAAACTAGATTACTTTCATTCGTTTTGCGGCTCTGTTTGGAACTTGGTTTCAGAAAAACAAAACAATAGCAGATAAATCCTCGAGTGTATAATTATCAACGATGTAAATAATACAATAAACGTTACTTTTAACATTCTTAACAGATACCGTAAGTTACAAATATGTTTTAGTGTGGTTGTATCTGTATGTTTGTTTTAAGGCCAAAAATAGTTGACATTTATTCTGAAAATTACATGGTTATAAGTTCGACTGGAAGACCTCATTATCGGTATTAAAATATAATTTATATATATAATATAATTTGATTTGAACTAATAAAAAATGGCAAATGTACAACAACATAACTTGATCCATTCGGATTCTGAGAAATTAACATAACTGTTTTCTTGATTCATTTTAATAGCCATTATGCGAGTAAAACAAAATATTTGGAGGTTGGGTTACCCACATCATTTTTTGGTATTTATGATATTGGGATTTTTGGATGCACCAAACCATTTATAACCAAAAGAGTATTACAAAAATTATGAATTTTAAAATGAATTGGGGATCCCAATATAAAAAGTAATGAAACAAGAGTATTGAAAAATTATGAATTTTAAAATAAAGTAGAGATCCTGCTATAAAAAATAATGGAACAAGAATTAAAACCACAATCACTAATTTATAAAATTTAATCCATATTTTGGCCTATAAAGCTGTCAAAGTAAGGACTAAATTTTATAAATTTGTGATTGTGGTTTTAATTCTTGTTTTATTACTTTCTATAGCAGGATCCCTACTTCATTTTAAAATTCATATTTAATACCCTTGTTTGTTTACTTCTTATGTTATACCCGTATAACGTATATATATTTTACATTTAGAAACTGGCCATCAATCCATTGATCTGTAGCGCCATCTGTTGGGTTGAAAAAAGATATTTAAGAATGTGCGTGATATGTTTATCATTTATATTATACCTGTACGAACAAGGATTTTTATCGGAATATCAAAAGAGTATAACCACAGATCAGTCAAGTAAGCTGGAGAAATCTTGTAGTGATAGTCCGAGCTCTCTAGGCGCTAGCTCCGCTGACGTGATGAGATAGATAGACGAAAAAGTTACTGTTTTAGACAATTTCGAATTGTTATACCAGAAATGCTAGCGACGTTTTTGGCGGTTTTTTAATATATATGCTCATGATATGTCGTAACAAAAAACTTTGAATGGTCGGGTTTTCGTTTAGGAATGCGATGGGGTGTTTTTTCTGGCGCGTGAATTATTTGGAATCGCTGTCGATTACTGCTATTATGTACTACCGTATTTAGAAGTCGAAAGTTCACCAATCCCACTATTCGTTGGTAAATAAGTAGCCCAAGAGTTGGCGGTGAGTGGTGATGACTAATTGTCTCCCTCTAGTTTTACACTGCTAAATTAGGGACGGCTAGCGCAGATAGCCCTCGTTGTAGCTTTGCGCGAAATTCAAAACAAACAAACTCTACGATCAGTTACATAATGACGAGATCTTCGAGCAGCTCACAGTGACATGAATTAAAGTTCGTGACAACAAGTAGTGTGAGGATCTTGGAGGAGTAACGTAGTGTCGCTTTGTCTTTTGGTTAGAGAAGAGATGGAATGATATATATATATCTATATAAAGAGGTTCATAATGACGAAAGTGAAGAGGAGCATCACAATGACATGAAGTGAAGGTCGTGACACGATTGAGAATCGTATTAGAGTATGGTACTATGTTGCACTTCTTCATTTGTCTCTTGTTTATTAGAGAGAGCTACAATGTGGACACTTCTCGTACGTTCAATTACATATTTTCCGTTGATAATTACCCAACCAGGATCATATTTTAGGTTGATGTTA